TTTATACTGAAATTAAAGCTAATTATCTGGGTGATTCTGCTTGACCAGAACACATCATCCGTGTCGCACACAGTGAGCGGCTTCTTGCTGTGAACCCAAAGGTAACAGCCGGCTGTGCCTGTTCGGTGCTGGTGGTGAGTGTAGGTGGTTTAGCTGGGACACAGAACCGCTGCATTTCACACTGCCTGACGATTCTGCTCCTTCTGGACAAATCAGCAATGATATGACAGCAGTGCTGCTCCTGGTGCTCTGGGAAATATTATTGATAATTACAACTTTCTAGCAATGAATGGGGAGGAATGAAAGCTGCACCCGGCGTGCAGAGAGCGAGTCCTTGCTGCCCACCTTGTGTTGAGGGTGCTGCTGTGAACCGGCTCCGCTCTGCTCGAGGCCTCTGCGCTGGCTGCCCGGGAGCAGCAACGCTTCGCGCTGCTCCCTTCATCTGAGCAAAACCAAGCAGAGCGTGTTGCGTCTGAATTACAGCAATCAGAAGCAGTCGAACAATTAGGTTTTCTGCATATGAAGGCAGTGATCGTATGTCTTCGTGCTCTTTTTCCAGAAACCCAAGACCATTTCTCTTTGGTCTGCAACAGTTTCTGGAATCACTTCTGCTCATTGATGGTAGCAAAATAACTGTACAAAGAAACACGCGGATTCCACAGAGCCTCCTGGAGCTGAGCAAGACACGGTGTCTCCACAGGGTGAGGTCATTCCTACCCTTATTTTCCTTGGAATCATTCTGCATCTTTCTATATTCAGATGTGAGGACTAGAAATCCCTGTAAATCACTGCTCTTGAGCACACAGTAGCAGATCAGAAAGTGTTCAGCCAGAGCTTGGCCGTCTTGGGGGCCTGCAACTGTTTAAAAAGGTCAAATTAAAAATAAGCTAATATATCTTGAACTTGTTATTATCTGGTGTGGAAAATATCTTCCAGATTTGTTAATACTACTTTTTTAAGGATTACTGATACAAAAAAAAAAGAAAAAAAAAAAAGACGAGCAGTAGCTAGTGTTTATTCCTCTTTGAGTGTAACAATATTTTTGAACTCCAACAGTGCCAGGATAGTTACACCTTTTTCCCTGGAGTTGACATCACAAGTGAAACTAGCACACAAACAGACAACACGAAGTAATGCTCCTGCTAATTTAAAGTTTAAATATTTTCCATTTCTCTGTTTTTAACTAATGTTTGCCAAGTGAAGGACAAAAGTCAGAAGGAAAAAGTGATTTTTTTCAATCTTGTAAGGTCAAATTATAAAAATAAGTGGAAAACACCTACACCCTCTGAAATAGTTTGCTAAGTGTTTTACAGTGTTTCTTACACACCTATGGCCATAACAGAACAAATCATGCAATAGATGACTGGAAGAGACTTCAAAAGTCATCTTCTCCACCTCTTCCCAATGCAGGATCAATGAATTCCATGATTCTTTACTAGGGTTTCTCTGCCCTGTTCTTAAAAGCCTCCCCTGATGGGGGAGAAGACACAGAGTGACACAGAAGGTACCTTACCTGTCCTGCTCAACTGCAGCACTACATCTGAAGTTGAACTAACCTGACATATTTTCCCAATATTCATCTGTTTTCCACTCATTATCAACTAGCTGATCAGTAAGAAGCCTAAAACCTCAGAATTTTACAGCTCAGTGACGAACACTTGTAAATTCCTAAGATAGCCGTTGTGCAAAGGAGCGGGCAGTGAGAAACTGGGTGTCCTACAGCCAACAGACGCTTCAGTTTTGTCCTACCTTTCTAGTATGGGCTTCCAGCCAAAACAAGAGAAACAAAAAAAACCCTAATATTTTCGTAACATTTTGAAAATCAAGGTTTTACAGCTTGGTTATGTACAGTACTTATTTCATCCGTTGCTAAAACACAGTCTTAGCAAACAGGATTCCTGAATGATCTGTACTTAGAACTATTTGTAACGCAGAGGTAGCAAAGTTGAGGTACGACTTTGGACCAGCAGCACTGACACTTTGAGGAAGGCAGATGCAGAAGGGCCTGGGGCAGAGCAGGGAGCCTGGGAGCTCCGACAGGGAGCAGGAAGCGGCATCCCGGCCCCGGCCGGGATTTTGGGATGCCGGAGCGCAGGCGGCCGTGCTCGCGCGCGGGTTTGAGGAGTTGCAGCTTGCCGCAGCCTGCTCCATGTCTCCAGCTGTAATTCGCTCCAAGAAGCAGGATACAAGGTCACTGAAGACCTATTAAAAGCACTTTTAATATTTCTTCCATTTAACCAGCGGCAGGATGCAATGACAGAATCAATCCCGCCAGACCGAGCGAGCGCTGTTGGCTTCGCAGTGCACCGTGCGAACTCGACCATTCCTTTTTGTTGTTGTTTTCTATCAGTTAACAGAATTTAACTAATACCTGTGAAGCCACTTACACAAGTTTAAACGCTGCTGCGTTATGGCAATACCACATCCGTGAAGGAGTTCGGTTCTAACTCCCGTGTGTTTCCATGGGGCAGCAAGAGCAGGGCTGCCCCGTTGGGGAAGGCAAGGCCGGAGGCAGCGGCCTCCTGCGCCAGGATGGGCTCACGGCGCCTGGGAGGAGAGCAGGGAGCACCAAGAGCTTCCATCAGCGAGCCCGGACGGAGAGGTGGCGAATCAGGGCCAGGGTCCATCCGGGGACAAAGCGAGGAACGAGAGGAGATGGAGCGAGAGACAGCGCCGTGAACGGAGCCGCTGTGAGTAACTGAGGGCAGCGGAGCCCGGGCTGACGGGTCGGGGACGGGAGGCCCCAGCTGAGGCCGGGCAGATCCTCGGGGCTGCCTGGGTTGAGCGGGGCCTTTCTCAGCAGCTCCAGATGCAGCACCCAGCGCCAAGAGGAACCAAGGGCTGGATTCCCTCCTCCCCGGCTGCTCCCGGGAGCCCTGGAGTCTTCTGTCTGCCCGGGATAAAACCTGATCTATCTGAAGGTAAACACAAGATCGCCTTGGATGCTGCGCTCCATTTCAAATGTGTTCTCGTGCTTCCAGTGCCTTGATGGATTCTGATACAGCAATTTCTTTGTCATCTGTGGAAAGATCACAGCACTGTCAGATGTTCTGCAATTCTGGGTCTTGCGCTGATAATCTTACAGTTTCCAAAATGCCTCAGACATGGTGTCAACATCGTCTGAAGAATACCTCAGACTAAAACTCTATTTAGAAAATGGAAGGCAGGAGGCCAAAGGGCTTTTATAAACCCCCAAATTTCCTATCAGCCCTCACTCAGTTTTGCTTTGCCTCTCAATTAAACTGCCAAAGACAAAGGGAGGAGTCAGAAGCCCAAGGGGTGGAGAAGAGGTGCCCTGCTCAGCTCAAGAGCAGCTTCTCCCCGTAATGAGGCTTGCAGATGGGGGTGTAAAACACTGCCAGAGCTCCCACTCGCCATCGCCACCCTGCTCAGAGCTATTCCCTAGCACATGTTGTAATCGTACACCCAGGAGGGTTGTTAAAGGCCTTACAGGAAACATCTCACATTTTTTCCCTTACTATTCATGCCATTTTCTATTAGGGACAATAAAGACTTCTAACACTGGATTAAACTCATTTGCAACAATGAGCTACTATTGCTCCAGGAGCCAGCGGGAGCTCAGACTCATTGAGGGAACTGGGAATAATTAACTGAATTGTACTGGAAAAAAGGAGAGGACTGAAGGCTGTTTTGACCAAGAGAGATGCAAACTGATGCTATGGTTAAGCCATCATGTCTCGCTGGGAATTATTGTTGGGAGTATCATTAATGCTTAGAGTATGCAGGGTTTTTTTTTTCAGTAAAACTGCTTTGGCCGTGGTCTCCTTTTTGGTTTTTGCTCCTAAAAGACAGAGTCCTAATGACAATAACACAGTGTTACTGATTGCTTTCACTCGTTGCTCAGAATGTAACCGAGTCCCTTCCCAAAACTCTCAGGGATGGCAAAGCTTTAGAGCAAAGGCCGCTCGGAACAGGCTGGCGTTTTGTTTCCCCTCCGTGATGTATATAATCCATCCCTGTGCTCCGAGCTGCTCTTGTGCAATCTGGGGGTCTCCAGCAATGGTGTAAACAGGAATTGTCTCATTGCAGGAGGGACTGGGAGTGCTCAGGGCTCTGAGATCAGTGTGTAGGTGGGCAGACAGCACGTTCGCTGTGGAGGCTCGACGGGCCTCTCCTGGGGAGCACCGAGGTGCTTGTGATCATCTACAAAACTATGAACTCAAGAGAAACGTCTGCTATTGACCCCTTCCTAGGCAGGATACTGAACCTAAGGGACCCTGAATATCTACCCTGATATGTTGCTGGAACTGTCTGCACATGGTTAGTTCAGTAGCTACACATAAATGCACATACTGTCTATAAATTATTCTATTTCTGTACTGTATATACAAGAATTACACAAACCGCTATTTGCTGTCCTC